GTCTGATTAGCAGAGACGGCATCCATCCCACTTTGGGTGGTGCGGCTCTCTTATCTAGAAATCTGGACGAGTTTGTTTTACAACCTAAATTATGACAACCCAGAGTTGAGTCCAGGATGCAGGGTCGCAGTCTTACACGCCTCTCTGCTGTCTCTTTGCATCTGCTACCCACCCAAAACTCCTAGTACCCCATAGAGACTGTGTCTGCCCCCCAACCACCCAGATTATATAAATCAAAAATCAACTCGAGGGGAGTTATCCATAAGAACCTAATTTAAAATTAAGACTACTCCTTTCCTTTTAGTGGAAAGTACTAAGACAATCAAATGTGGTCCATTAAATATCAGATCTCTCTCATATAAATCTTTGTTAGTGAATGATTTAATAAGTGAACATCACATTGACTTATTGTGTCTTACTGAAATATGGTTATGGTTACAGCAGGAAGAATATGTCAGTCTAAATGAATCCTAAATGAATCCACTCCACCTAGTCACAGTAACTGTCACATCCCTCGAAACACAGGCCGAGGTGGTGGCGTGGCAGCGATCTTTGACTCAAGCCTATTAATCAACCCTAGACCTAAACATAGTTATAACTCATTTGAAAGTCTCACCCTGAGTCTCTCACACCCAAACTGGAAAACTCAAAAGCCAGTTCTATTTGTTATTGTATACCGTCCACCTGCTCCTTATTCAGAGTTTTTAAGTGAATTCTCAGACTTTCTGTCTGATTTAGTGCTTCGTACAGATAAAATAATCATAGTAGGTGGCTGTCTCTATGAAATACTGGGAGTTTGGGTGGGTAGCAGCTACAAAGAGACTGCAGAGAGGCGTGTAAGACTGCAACTCTGTGTCCTGGTCTCATATCTGGGTTGCCCCTTCTATCATGTTTCCTGAAGTTACACCATGAACCACGGTTCAACCAGGATGCCTGGTTGCAACAAACTGTACAAAGGCTGCCTCCAGTCCACAACTAGTGATAGCTGACTAACAAGCTCTATGGCAGCATTGAATTGACTATGTGTGATTGAGTGCTTTTTGATTGATTTTTTTCAAACTGTGTAAAATCTTAATTAAAGCACTTTTAAAAATGTCATTACCTCTGATATCCGTAATCAAAAGCAAAGGTAAAGGGAGGAGTATACC